ATATCATACGACCCTTGATTTTCAAGGCGCCGGAGCACCATCCTTGTTGTTCGTTCACTCACCCCATATATCACACGACCGTCGCTCCCTGAGCAGCGCGCCGGAGCACCGCCCAAAATCCACCACCAACACCATCACTCGACGGCCTTGTAGTTCAGGCCGTGAACCTAACAGCCGAAACCAGTTCCTCTCTCGGCTACAATCGTTTGACTAGGAAGACAGATCAAACAGGCGCACCATTCATCCATCCAAAACTCATCGAAACATCAACGCACGGTAAACCGTGCTGGCACGCCCGCGCACAACCGCACCGCACCCAAAAGCAGGAAACCCCGTGTTAACGCACATCCCCTCGGCCCGGAACTCCAGGCCGTGAGATTTGCGCGGCAGACAGATCTCAGCTATTGATAGCATTTTGAGGGATGCTATGTTCAGAAAAGGGGATGAAAACCCCAAGGCTAAGGAAGAGCCAATAAGGGAAAATGAGCCTAGGGTGGAGACTATGGCCAGTATAATTGTGATCACAAGTGACGACGAAGAGGAGCCTATGGAAGAGAACGAGATAGAGGTGATCCTAGTTGAGTCAAGTGATGGCGAGTCCATGGAGGAGATTAGTGGTGAAGTGGTTCAAGCATACCCAAGTGATGTTCAGAGGAATGAAGACTACCAAGGAGTTAAGTCGACGAGGGCGTCAGACTCTTATGGTGGGGGTGGTTTGTAAGACCCTTACAAGTGGCATAGGCCATGACATGGTTTTGATGTGTTTTGCACCATGCCAAAGGTGCATGGGAGGTGCATACGAGAAGCAAGACAACATCGGAAGAAATGAGTTTTCGGCTGGGAGTAGGCAGGAAAGCTTGGTAGCAGCACATCAGATTTGGCAGCATGCAGACAAACGCTGTCGACAGGCACTATTGACAGATGCCGACTGGAGCTGCCAACAAATGAGCATAGGTGTACGTAGCGTATGTTGGCAGGCAGCGTGCACAACGGATGTTGACAAAACTAGGCACAAGGCAGTAGTGCGCTACACAGGACTGGCGGCAGTGCGCGCAATGTTCATGCATTGTTGCAGTTGGCTGACAGACGTGCTAAAATGGGTTTCTGACGTGGCAAAACAGTTTTTAAGTAGTTCCAAAGTTGGCTGGGTGTGGCTAGGAGTGTGGGAAGCTTAAAATTCGGGATGTGGCTAATGGTTGGAGTGAAGTGGGCGGTTACTTGAGAGTGGTTGCATGTTCTAAGGAGTGGGAGAGATTTTTAAGGATTAAAAATCAACTCCATGACTAAATGGGCTGCAAGGTGGCGGCTTGAGTGGGCTAGGCAGGTTTTTGGATAGAAACAAATGTCTAGGTGGCAAATCTAAGGGTTGCCAACGTTTCCTATGTAGATGGGGGTATCATCTACATAGTTTATGCTTGTAAATACCTTGTGCAGGTAGAGTTGAGATACCAAGTGATGTGGTAGTCCAACAAAAAGTAAGAGCTTGTAATCCTTTGCTATTTGAGAATAGAAGGTTGGGAACTTTTGCCCGTACATGTCTATGTGAGAATTTTCCTTTGTAGGCAAGTCTTGCTTGAGTGAGTGTTGGTAATCACTTGTACCGTTGCGTGAATTCTGAAGCCTCACGAGTTGGAGGTGCGAGAAGGCTGACTTGGGATGAGTCTAAGTGTTGGACAAGGGTCAAAAAATTAAAGGCGTTTTTCACCCTTATTACAGTTAGTACGATGGAGAAACCTATAAAAGGGGTGCTTTCTTAAATCTTCAACGTTCTTTAATCCGCCAAGCTGCAAATTTCTTGTTTAAAAAGTAAATCAAATATGAGAGAGAGAGAGAGAGAGAGAGAGAGAGACGACTGATATCAAGCTTCCAACCTATGTAACCATACCATAAACCCTGTCTCGGGCTGTGAGGATCCTTCTTTGTGTTAGTAAGCTGATGGTGGTACCGATGATTACTCACCCATTCAATCGGACTACCCTAAAAATCCAAACACCAACAAATCTTTGAATAACGTATACATTTTTTTATTAGCAAGATTATGTTGAATAGAAGGGAAAGGGAATGTACAATTTTTTTTTCTTTTCCTCTTTTTGACAAAGCAATATTTTGACTACTCTAATGTATGAAGAGGTGGATCAAACTCGGGTTAAAGAGGGCTGGGGCGCACTTCCTTGGCCCACATATACGAGAATGTTCAAATTCCTTAATATTTTTTTGGCTATACAAAATATACAAAAGAATAGAAGTACACCCCCACAATCTTCCTTGAACGAATAAGAACTAGTTTACTAATGCGTTTGGTTCATGGGAAAAACGGCTTTCATGTTTGGTAACTCCATGCATAAGAAAAGGTTTCCTAACACATGGGAAACTAAGGCAATAATTAAATATACTTTTTTTCATGACCAATTTGCCCCTACTAAACAATTTATAACCACAATTTTATTCAACAAAGACTTTTGGTATTCTTCTTTTACTTATTTCTAACAGGGGTATAGTTGAAAAACAAAACACAATTTGTTTTCAATTTCTATAGACACCAAATATGGGAAATGAAATAAAGTGATATTTTCTAATTACTTTCCTAACATTATCAAATATGGCAAATAAATCTTACATTTCTCATACCTTTCGGAAAAGACATGGGAAATGATTTCTCATCAAATTCTTTCTGCAAACCAAAGGGGACCTATAAGTCTAATCAAAGGAGGGGGCAATTTGTTGGATTTATTTGGGTTTGTGTATGAGTTTATAAATCATCAATAATTCATATACGAGTTTGAAAATAGATCTAAAATTTAGTGAATTTGCTTTACTGTCAAACACTGAAAACGTTACCCATTGTGTACACACACACACCTGGAGTGATAGAACGCCACAATAGGCAAAGAAGTACTCGAGCCATTTTGCAAGCCTAAAACTTCTGTGTGCAAGACTTCTATGGTAACACAGAGTGACTCCTAAACCCGTTGCAATGTACAAAGTGATGGCCACCCAAAATGCAGGCCAATTGAAATGAAAGGGCGCAAGTGCACAAAGGCAATGCAAAGCCAAAAACATAACCACTGCGAATACGTCTTGTATGTTCCATTTCCTCCCCGAAAACTCTCCACATGACTTCATAAGAAACATGCCCAAAAGCCTCATATTAATATATATATATATATTATTTTGATTTGACAAACCCCGCCCTTCATTAAAAAATATCTTTGTAAATATTTGTAATATATTTACTTGCCCAAATTAGTGTAGGTCAAATCCCACTAATATTGGATCACAGCTTCAAAGCCTTAATTGTAGGATTGATAGAAGGCTATGGTTGTATATATGTATTGTACTATTTGATGTTTGGAATACAACAAAACATTCAACCATTTACTTTCTTGAGATGGTATTAGAGCTTCATCCTGGTACTTGACCCTTTCTACATCCTAGCCACCTTCAACAACCATGCCAGATCAAACAGCACTAGAAATCAGAAACAACAATTCCAAAAATTCAAGCGCCAGCACCAAAAATCCCGGTATGGATTCATCACACCCATATTTTGTTCATCAATCAGATCACCCCGGTCTCATGCTCATTCCAATAAAGTTGAACGGCATCAATTACCTATCTTGGAGTAAATCCATGATTCATGCTCTTACAGCCAAGAACAAAGTTGGCTTTGTCAATGGATCCATTCAACCTCCTTCAGAAACTGTATCTGATATATGGTTGGTGCATTCTTTTGTGAGAATTGATCTTTGAAATCTTGCCACACTTGATGGACAGTCTTGGCATGAACGACTACTTTGGCCAAATCGGGTTCCACTGAGTGAGCAAGCCATGATAAAATCATACTGTTGCATTGATTCCAGAGAGCATATTATGTTGGTTGTTCAGTTTCTGAAGGAGGTTGAATGGATCCAGACGGTTTCAGACTACTACAAAAAACTCAAAGATCTCTGGGATGACTTAGAAACATATCAAACCCCTCTCACATGTAACAAGATGAAAGCACACAATGCATAAAAGGAACAGGATCGGATGATGCAATTCCTTATGGGCCTCAACGACACCTACGACGGTGTCCGTGGCAACATCCTAATGATGTTGCCATTGCCTAATGTCCGCCAAGCCTATTTACTAGTCGTTCAAGACGAAAAATAGTGACATATAACATTAGGACCACCAAAGAATTTTTCCATCACCGCTGTGATTCACAACCAATCAAACAATATGTCAAATAATTCCACAAACAAACACTGTGAGCACTGTGATAGAAATGGTCATACAATTGAAGAATGTCAGACTCTCAAATGCAATTGCAAGTATTGTGACAAGAGAGGCCACACTAAGGATAAATGTAAATTTAAAATTGGGACATGGGTTCCAATGACACAGGAACTCAAGGCAATAGGCGCAATCAATCTAAGTAACAACGTCAAGGGTCTAAAGGGAACATCAATCTGTGTGGGTCCTTTCCTGCTGCCCACACAGCAGACACAGCTCCAGCAAATGGGGACATCTCATGGCTTTAGAGCACTAACCTAGCCGCATGGTTTCAGAGCACCAACCCAGCTAGCCCCTCAATCCAACCCTTTACATGGGCTTTCTACAAGGCAACTTCAACAACTAGCACATGTTGTTTCTATGATGAGTTCAACTCATTCCTTTAGCAACTGCAATGCTTATGCAAATGCTGCAGGTTTGGCTCCTTTTTCTGTTCCCTCCATAAATTCTGTGTTTACCATACCTTGGATTTTAGATAGGGGAGCTACTGATCACATCACTTATGACCCTACACTTTTCTCTGAAACCGAATCATCACAAATTCCCATTGTTAATTTACACACTGGTTCTTGTGCCCCAATCACTTCCCCTGGCACCATACCATTCAATTCAAACATCACATTAAACAAAGTTTTGTGTGTTCCATCTTTTCGCTTAAATCTAATGTCTGCCAGCGAACTCACTAATTCTCTAAACTGTTGTGCCATTTTGTTTCCTACCTTTTGTGTCTTGCAGGACTTGGCTACGAGGAAGATGATTGGCTCGGGTAAACAACGTGGTGGTCTCTATTACATGTCTCCATTACAAAGGACACCTGTTGTTGTTAATATTATGTTAACTCGCAATTGTACGGGGCAATTAGTAGTATAGCAAGACAAGTACGAGGTCGTACCCACGAAGACTGAGAAGTTAAAACTAGTTATGTACTTAGATTACCAAATTCAAGAAAGTAGGAGGTTATGTCTAAAACAGAATTTAAAACAAGAGTGGTTGTGATTGTTGAACAAAAGAAGCAAAATGAAATTGCAAACAAAAACAAGTAAACAAATGTAACAAAGAGTGGTTTTAAGAGTTGGAAAACAGATTTTGAGACTAGGGCATTCGAATCACCATAACAATTCAATTCTGGGTTATAAAGATTCAAGTAACAAGTCTAATTCAGATTCAAAGATTGATTCTAGCTAAAGTATGATTAGGCCATGGTGTTTGGTCCTAACCTTGTGTTCCTAATTCCCTAATTTGATCATCTGTTGTCTAACCTAAAATTAAGCATTAGGAACCCATTAAACATAGAAGAACAATTTAAACAACCAAGCATGTATCTAATCCCTGTTGTCGAATGTCCATACATACTCTTCCATTTCATAGTTCAATTCGAATTAAAGCATGGTGTATACTCTTAATTCAAACCAAGATAGCTAACATGCAAGCCTAAATGGTGATCAATCATTCAAACTAGCATATTAACTTATAAGCATAATGAATAAGAACAAAAACCATAATTGAAACTTGGAAACTAATTAGTGAATGAGACCAGAAAATTAAAAGTAATCAACAAAGGTTAATCATTAACTTAAAACATGAAATTATCTTGTCAGGTTACATTGAAACCCTAGCTATGGATTTAGTTACTCATGATGGAAAAGAGACTTGAACATAAATGAGAAAACATAATTAATGCAATAAGAGTAGAAAAACCCTTTTTCTGAAGTTCTTGTGGTGTCCAAGGCTTCTCCAAGTGCTTCTCCACTTCTAATGCTTCTCCAAAAGCTTCCCCACTTCTAGAAAGATGTATGAAGGATATGGAGGTGATTTAGGATGAGTTTGAGTGTGTGGTGATGGCTAAGGAAGATGAAATTCGTAGGAAAATGGAAGAGAAGAAAGCTGGAGTTGTTTTGGTGATTGTTGGAGTGTTTGGGATTTTGAGAGTGTTTGAGGATGGTTGGAGTGAATTGTGGGGTTGTGAATCCCAGGATTTGTTGTGTCTTGAATGTGGAATGGATGTGGTATTTATAGGGAGAGGGGAGTGACAAATCTGAATTCAATATGGCTAATGCATACAACACTTATTTTATAAAATCTGAAATGGTTGATGCACTTCACCAATAGATCCCACCAGCAGCCCTAGCACATCTTCATGTCACCATGACCAAGCTTCCAACAAGCTCAATAGCTCATGCCTAGCTCACCATGACCAAGATTCCAACCAGAAACAATAGCTCATCCTAAGGTCAGCATGACCAGCAACTTCAAGGGCTTACAACTTGGGCTAGGCTGAATCAAATGAAGACTTTAAGATGTCCATTGTGAAGTTCAGAATGTGTATGATCCAACCACACAAGTATTGGCCCAATCCAAGCTCGGAGGAGGAAGTTAAGGCCGAAACAAATTGCTAACTCAGTTTGCTCGCTGACAAAATCCATCCAGAGCATGGTTCTGTGTTTGCTAGGTGACGGACTCCAGATTTATCTAATGGGGCTGAATTTTGGATATGTTATAGTACACACCCATTGGAACAACTTTCATGAAGAATGCGGCCTCATCCGAGCTGTGTAGGTTGCTGAAACAGATCTTGCAATGTGACCCACGAAACTGGACTGGCAAGGGGCTGTAGCAAAAATGAGTATGTCTTTAAGCTCTTCTTCCCTTCATCCAAATCAGGCCTTAACATGCTTGAATTGCATGAATTATGCTCTCTTGCTCTTTTGGCCTACAAAACACACAAAGGGAGGTAAGTGACTCAAAATAAAGAGAAACTAAGCAAAATCACTAAGTAAAGAAGGCATACAAGTGTATGAAATTATGGACTTATCAAAACAGAAAATGGATTAAAAGCACAAGTTTAACTCAATAACATAACCAAATCATAAGCTAGAAGGGTACAAAATGATATACAATTATGAACCGATCACCTGTCTCATATCAAGTTTCCCTCTCATCCCATTTATGTGACATGCTACTTGGACACCCATCCCCTTCTCGTCTTCGATTAGCTTCTCCATTATTGCCTTCCAATACTATTACTTTTGATAATAATTGTAGTATTTGTCCCATGGCCAACAAACAAGACTTCCATTTCCTCTAAGTTAAATATCAACTAAACCTTCATTTGATTTGTTACATTGTGATATTTGGGGTCCGCACAAAATTCCCACACATTCAGGGGCACGTTTCTTTCTTACCATTGTGGATGACTTTACTAGATGCACATAGATATTTTTGATGCAGCACAAATCTGAAACCCAAAACCTTCTCAAATCTTTTGTTGCTTTTGCCCACTCCCAATTCCATGCCAACATTAAAACCATTCGGGTAGACAACGGGTCTGAATTTTTCTCCATGAGGGAATTTTTTTCAAAATAATGGCATTGAATATCAGCGCACATGTGTTTACACTCCACAACAAAATGGAGTCGTCGAACGCAAGCATTGCCACATTCTCACCATCGCACGTGCATTACTTTTTCAATCTCACTTACCAATTATTTTCTGGGGTGAATGTGTCTTGACCGTTGTCTATCTCATTAACCGATTATCCTCACCATTACTCTCTACTAAATCACATTTTGAATTTTTATACAACCGTACCCCATCACTCAACCACTTGAAAGTCTTTAGTTGTCTCTATTATGCAACTGTTGTCCATCCTATTCATAAATTTGATCCACGTGCCACACGTTCTGTCTTTGTTGGATATCCTACTGGCCAAAAGGGTTACAAACTCTACAATTTGGAGACAAACAAATTCTTACTAAGCCGTGATGTCCAATTATGTGAAAATACCTTCCCTTTCTCTCAATTTTCGGCCTCACCTACCCCACATACTCCCCAGCACCACCTTTCCTATGATTTCCTTGACAGCTAGACCTCAC